TGATTTGGGCTGATATTGACCATTTAGTGCACATTTAACCCGAAATCGGATGAAGATATATATGGGAGCTATGTCCAAATCTGAACCGATTTCGATAAAATTTAAAACAGCTATTCATGTGCTCCATCTAATACCTGGTACCAAATATCACGGTTGTGGAGTGAATATTACGAATGTAAAGGTCTAAAACACTAAATCAGATGAAACATATATATGGTTGCTATATCTAAATCTGAACCGATTTTCACTAAATTTGATATACTTGCTTCTAGGCTGAATTTGGTCCGATGTACTAAAATTCAGTCCATTTGGACTTATATCGGCCATTTGGTGCACAATTAACCCGAAATCGGATGAAAATATATATGGGAGCTATATCCAAATCTGAACCGATTTCGATAAAATTACAAACAGCTATTTCTGGGCTGTATCTTATATCTGGTACCAAATATCATTCTTGTGGAGTGCATATTACGAATGTGAGAGGCTTAAACACCAAATCGGATAAAACATATATATGGGAACTATAGCTGTCTCTGAACCGATTTTCTCCAAATTTGTTGTATTTGCTTTAAGGCTAATCTCGGCCACATATGCCAAAATTCGGGCCATTTGGGCTAATATTGGCCATTTGGTGGTCAATTAACCCGAAATCGGATGAAGATATATATGGGAGCTATATCCAAATCTGAACCGATTTCGATAAAATTTAAAACAGCTATTTCTGTGCTCCATCTAATACCTGGTACCAAATATAACGGTTGTGGAGTGCATAGTAGGAATGTGAGGGACTTCAAGATCAAATCGGATGAAAGATATATATGGGAGCTATAGCTATATCTGAACCAATTTTCTCCAAATTTGATATACTTGCTTCTAGGCCGAACTCGGTTGGGTGTGCCAAAATTCAGGTAATTTGGACTGATAGTGGACATTTGGTGCACATTTAACCCGAAATCGGATGAAGATATATATGGGAGCTATATCTAAATTTGATCCGATTCTCACCAAATTCAATAGGGTTCGTCCTTGGGCCAAAAAAATATTGTTTGGAAAATTTCATCTCAATCGGATAATAAATGCGACCTGCATTTTGTTCACAAGAATACATGGACAGACGGACGGACGGACAGACGGACTGACATGCATAAATCGACTCAGAAAGTGATTCTATGAAGGTTCTCAAAAGTAACTATGGGTCTATCTCGTTTCCTTCTCCATGTTACAAACAAATGCACAAAGACATAATACCCTTACCACTATGTGGTGTAGGGTATAAAAACAAATTTGTTACGATACATGGACATTTTGCAGCTTCCAGTAGTTTACATACATCCTATGTAAGATTGAAAGGCATTCAATATATAAGTCGACAAGAGGAAATTGAAAAGGTTTCAACAAATACCAATACCACCTCTTACAAGATTAATCAAGAAGAATTGGATAATATACAAAAACAGTTGCATGAATCACCTCTAAAACACCTACCACAATTAATACACTCATCAAATCAACATCATCATGCAGTTAGCTACGCATCTTTAGCTTGCTGCATTCTTATTTTACTTGGCCTGCTGAGTTGGAGGATCCACACAAAATTTAAGAAGCCATCTCAATTCATACCTACACCAGCTATAAGATCTCATCAATCAACAATCGATGTTACAATGGAGTCATTCCCACATGCATCCAACCCAGGCGCACTCATTACTTGAACAATGTCAACGCGGCGGAGAATGTTAAAACATACATAAATATTTTTTTTTATTGTTCTATAAACATAATTTAGATTTAATTACCAAAACAAACAATAAATACAAAAATCAAGCACACCTACATATTTATAAGTTTTAAACTGCTTATACAGCATTATTATATCACATATTTGGACTATTTTATTGTTACAGTTAATTTTCTTTATTTTAGTTCATTTTAGTTCATTGGCCATTGGTTCATTCACTTTTGCAATGTTTTTAAGTTTCTTTAACACATTTATTTATTTTGCTTACATAGCATTTAATGTCTACTAGTAGCCGACCTACATTACAATTAATTTATATCAGCATTTATCAATAGCATTTTAATTAATTATGTTAAGAAATTATGTATATAAAGACAGCCAGAAATAAAGAAAATTCAGTCGTCTTTTGTAGTGACTAAACCAAGAGTTTTAATTACTATCTAGGCGGCTTCCTTCAAGTTCATGTGCTTGCAAGGAAATTAATTTGGATACTAAGTGTCAGTTCAAATTTATGTGTTTGAATTGAATCGCACTAGATCCTACTATCAAAACAAACGGTGAATAATGTAGCTAAAATCATCAAAATATCGTATATAAGGAGGTGCATTTAAATTGGAGCTGTGCGAAGACCTGGACCAGCATAGACAATTTTCTGTCACAGGCTGTAGCATCTATTACGAACTTCAAATACCACGTCTCAAACAATTTCGGTGGGTATTGTACCTAAAATCGTCAAAATACCGAATATAGGGGGCTATATGAAGACGTGGACCTGCACAGACAATTTTCTGTCTTAGGGTGTAGTATCCATTTTGAACTTAAAATACCAAATTTGAAACAATTCCCGTGAATAATGTCGCTAAAATCATCAAAATACCGAATATCGGGAGGTACCGTTATATGGGGGCTAAACGAAGACGTGGACCTGCACAGATAATTTTCCGTCTTAGGGTGTAGTATCCATTTTGAACTTCAAATACCAAATTTGAAACAATTCCCGTGAATAGTGTCGCTAAAATCATCAAAATACCGAATATAGGGAGGTACCGTTATATGGGGGCTATATGAAAACGTGGACCTACATGGCCCATTTACGAACTTATCCTGCCTACTGGATTTGTACTTTCAAGATACAGACACTCCTAAAAGATAAATCGGACAGATTATTTAAAAAATAATAGTGCACGAGTTACGTCCCGGCCATTGCCACTTATTTTTTGTCGAATAAAGCATAACACAAAAGTTTCAAATGATATTTGAAACGTTTGTTTTTGTATCCACATTCCCAGACAATCATTCGATGCAGCGTCAGCAAAACCCTGTCGCTACATTGAGTCATTAAATATTAAAAGCAACAAATAAAATTCGGTCTTAAGCTGCCCTCAGACACACCAACAGTTGGCCCAACTTGTGACAAGTTGGTACAACTATTGGTGCGTCTGAGGGCTAGTTGTACAACTTTTTCGAAAGTTGGTTGAAGTTGGTTGGAAATATCAACAATTTTTGATAAGCTGCCCTCAGACACACCAACAGTTGGCCCAACTTGTCACTTTTAAGTTTTATGAAAAAGTTGGTCGGTCTCCTCGCACGTAACAACTTTTCATACAACTGTTGTACCAACTTTTCATTTACAAAGTATTTTTGAAGCGTCAACATGAAGTCGGATGCTCTTGCGCTACTTGGAATTGATATAATTTTAGAGGAAGAAGAAGAAAGACAACTGCAGAGAAAGAAAAAGTTGAAGAAAAAAATGTGGTCAAAGCATTGGTTCATAAAATGAAATAAATTTTCGAACAAAAAACTTTTAAAAACATTGAAAGATTATAAAAATTATATGCGAATGTCAGACCAAACATTCAATGATCTTTTATCGAAAGTAAAAGTTCATATTGAAAAGAAAGACACCATTATGAGGGAGGCCATTAGTGTGGAAAATCGTTTGGCAATCACATTGCGATTTTTGGCCACCGGTAATTCTTTCGAAGACATGAAGTTCTCCTACGCAGTGTCTCCACAATCCATAAGCTCTATTGTTTTTGAAACATGCGAAGCGACTATAAAAGTCCTGAAAGATTTTATTAAGGTAAGACAATTGAACATATTTTACATTGTGAGTGTCACTTAAATGATTTACTTATAGGTTCCCAAAACTCCAGAAGAATGGGAGAGTATAGCACAAAAGTTTTTTGAAAAATCGTTGTATTGGAGCACTCGATGGCAAGCACATCAATATCACAAGACCACAACATTCTGGAACGTTCTACTTCAACTATAAAAAAACGTTTAGTATTGTATTGATGGCATTAGTTGATAGTAATAGCAACTTTCTTATGGTTGATGTGGGAGCGAATGGTCGAGTATCTGATGGTGGTGTTTTCTCCAATACAAAGTTCTTCAGAAAACTCGAAAATGATGAATTGAAAAAAAAAATGCAGTCCTTAAGTCAACTGCACAACTCTTCTTTGGTGTATATATATAATTCGAGCGACCTGACAAAGGTATTTCCAAATCCCGCAAAAAGCTGAACAACTCGAAGTACCACAGCTTTGGTACATAAAGGTCGTCTGCACCCGCACCAGATCGGTCACTCTGAATGTACCTCTTGAGTTCTCGCCGATAGCAAGTACGCATGTTTCCATTTTTTTTAACGTCGTCTACTGTTGCGTTGTTTTTATTTTTTTTATACTAAATTAATAACTTTTCATAGCTTCGTTTTTTTATATTTTTATTTTTATATATTTCCAGTTTGGCCACAGTTCAGGCATTTTTTTATATTCCTCTATAAAATCGCGCATTGACGCTTCCTCTTCGCAATCACTCATTTTTATTTATGTTTTATTTTAGTTTTTTTTTCTTGTTTTGTTTTATGATTATGTTTTGTTTTCGTTTCTCTTCTTGCGCTCTGCTTATGTATGTGCTGCTTCACCAAAGTCAAGACATAAATGAAGAAAACACTGAAGTTGGTACAACTAGCCCTCGCACTCACCAACAGTTGGCCCAACTTACGAAATTATCAAAAATTTTTGATATTTCCAACCAACTTTCGAAAAAGTTGTACAACTAGCCCTCAGACGCACCAATAGTTGTACCAACTTGTCACAAGTTGAGCCAACTGTTGGTGTGTCTGAGGGCAGCTATAATTTCGTAAGTTGGGCCAACTGTTGGTGCGTGCGAGGGTGAACTTTAGGACCACAACCAAACACAAAACAAGTGTGTTTTAAATCCACAATGGATAAGCAGTGTGTTCACAACCACAGCAGATAACTGGCGCAGTCGGGATGTTTGTTTCTAAAGAACAAAACATAAAAGAACCATTGGAAAAACTACAAGAACATTAATAATTAATAAATTCAAAAACATTTCGATAAGTGAAAATTTTGTTCTGAAGAACAAAACATAAAAGAACCGTTGGAAATGCTACAAGAACATTAATAGTTAATAAATTCAAAACGATTTTAATAAGTGAACAATTTTGTTCTAAAGAACAAAAGATAAAAGAATCGTTGAAAAAATATAATAACATTAACAATTAATAAGTGCAAAAACATTTTAATAAGTGAAAAATTGTGTTCTAAAGAACAAAACATATAAGTAAAGAAAAAAAAAACAACTAAATATTAATAAAATAAAAAGAAAGAAAAAGTGAAAAAGTAAGACATAAAATATATAAACATTTTGGAAGTCTATGTCTACAAAAAAAAATATCGCATTTGAAAAAAATAGAAAAATGGATAACCTCGAAGAAGTAATAAGTCGACAAGAGGAAATTATCCAACAGTTGCAACAACAAATGGAGCAGCAGCAGCAACAAATGCAACTGCAGCAACAACAATTACAAATCCAAATGCAACAACAACCACAAAATGAACGTCCACAGCAGCAACAAAATAATGGGTTAACACTGAATTTGTGTCCGAAAGATATACTCGAACAATTTCGCAAATTAAAACCACTAGATAAAAACCACAATCCAAGGGCATTTACACGATCAGTGGAATCTGTGATCGAGCTTTGTAATGGGAATCAGGAAATCTTGAAGTATGGCCTAAACATTGTCGCCAACGAAAAAATTCAAGGAGACTACGGAAAGAGGATCCGGATGCTGGAGATCGGAGCAGCATGGAACAAATTGAAGAAGGAAATCCTGATCAGCAGCCAACCAATGAAGACGTATGCCGAAATTTACAATTTTTGCAGAAAGGTAAAAGTAGAAAACTTAGAAGAACTATTCCAATACTTTGTTAATGCTAAGTATGAAATTAAGCCAAGAATTTATGAACCACGAATAGTTGACAGAGATTTGGTAGATCTTCTATTAGAGAAGATAGATGGTCATGTTAGGGACCATATATCTGATGAAGAGTCACTTCAGGATATTATAAATAAGTATACCAGGCTCAGATTACTCGATGACAGAAGAGCCATTGATTATAGACATCGAAAAAATGTTATTCAACAATCTAATAAGAAATGGGAAGGAAATAGAATCAATTTTACAAAAAATAATAGTAACGGAAAGCCTCAATCAGAGAATAGAAAAAATCCACTTAATCGATTTTCGGGACAAATTTACAAAAATAATCAGCAGGTTGATAATAACAAAAACTATACCCCATCCAACAAAATGTTTTCAAGACAAATTAATAATACAAATCAATATAGATATTCACAACAAAATCGGAATAATTCCGAACAAAGTAAAATGTCTACTCAAACTATCCCTAGTTTAGGTCAATATTTTATGGACACTGACAATGTTGAGCAAGATGAAAACTTTATTATAGAGGCCCAAATACACAACAACCCATAGTAAGACTCACAATTAGAGACCAAAATATAAATTGTCTCATTGATACCGGTTCCACAAAAAGCATTATGTCCCCAAATGCACTTAAAAATTTTATGATCGAGAATAATGACCAAAAATGTTACTTCAGGACATTAAATGGAGTTAGTTAAATAAGAAACTGATTACATCATATCCTAAAGAATTTAACACAGACTGTTTCATTACTTGGATGGTCAACGATTTAATAGAAAAAAAATATAGTGCCATAATTGGTAAAGATATTTTACGTGATCTAAAAGTTACACTAAACTTTGAAGGTAATTTTAGAAAAATAAAAAAATTAAAATATTTTTAATGATTACCCACCCGAAATATTTGATGCATGTACATTGGAAAAAATTCCAAGCCCGATTTCGAATCTCATTAATTACCAAAATTTTAACAAAGAAGAATTTAAATCAATTTCGCAGTTATTGAAAAGATACAGCAAACTTTTTTGTTTAGATGGCGATAACTTAACGTTTACCCCTGAAATACAGCACGAAATAATTACTAAGACTTGCAGATCTATTTACTCCAGAATTTATAGATATCCAAAAGTACATAAAGAAGAAATCGAACGTCAAATCGGCCATTATGAATTAAGAAGAATGCCTTTCGGGCTCAAGAATGCCTCAGCTACATTCCAAAGGCTAATGAATTCAATATTAAGAGATTATATCAATAGAATATGTGTCGTATATTTAGACGACATACTAGTATTTAGTACTTCTCTACAAGAGTACATTGATAATTTGAAAAAGATTTTTTCTGTCCTTGAAGAAGCAGGTCTTAAGATACAAGTTGATAAGTGTAAATTCTTATCAAAAGAAATTTCTTATTTGGGACATGTATTGACTCCCGAAGGAATCAAGCCAAGTATGGAAAAAATCAGCGCAATAACAAATTTAAAATTACCGACAACCAAAAGCAAATTAAATCATTTTTGGGAATGATGGGTTACTACAGAAAGTTTATAAGAAATTAGGCAGTCTTTGCTTTTCCAATGATATCTTATTTAAAAAAGACAAAAAAGTTAATACAAGTGATCCAAAATACATAGTATCCTTTGATAAACTAAATAGATTGATTACGGAACATCCTATTTTAAAGTTTCCGGACTTTGAGAAAAGATTTAAGCTCACTACAGATGCAAGTAACTTTGCGTTGGGTGCAGTCTTTTCTCAAGATGGACACCCAATTTGCTTTGCATAAAGAACGTTAAATGAACATGAACGAAATCATTGAAAAAGAACTTCTTGCAGTGGTGTGGGGTATAAAGTATTTTAGACCATATTTGTATGGGAGAGAATTTGATTTACATACCGATCATCAGTCACTTAAGTGGCTACAGATAAAAAAATCTGCAAGGGATTTAAATCCAAGACTTCAAAGGTGGCTTATCCAATTAGGCGAATATGATGCCAAAATAGATTACATAAAGGGAAAAGAAAATAAAATTGCTGACTTTTTAAGTAAAATTGACGTGGAAACCAATGAAATTAAAAATATAGAGAAGACATTTATGATTCTACTGCAGCCACAATACATTCGCAAAATGAAGATATTAATGACCATTTTACAATCTTAGATATTGTAGTTAACAGATTTAAGATACAATTAATTTTAGTAAATAGAAAGGAAACCGAATCAAATATAGTATGTGGAAGCATTACAATATTTATAGAAAAGGCCGACCTTGACAATAATATTGCCAATATTCTAAATTAATTCATAATAAAAGGCAAGATAGGGATCTACTCGTTTCTACCTGATTCCGTTTATAATCGTTTGCAAACTCGGTTATTACAACTGTATTCTCAATATAACAATATCATGTTTGTAAGATGTAGTCACTATGCGAAAGACCTCCAACCTGAAGAGGAGGCAATAAGACAGATATCCCTATTTCATATTAAGGAGTCTGGCCATGCTGGAATTGTTCCAAATTATGAGGATAGCCTAACTTTAGTAGAAAAGTTAAGACTGTATATTTCAATTAATGGAAAAACGAAAAACCTTGTAGGTGATAATGAATTCAATAACTTAAATGTAAAGGAATTTTGTAGAGTAGAAGGCATTAATATACACTTCTCAAAACCTAATAGTCATACTAGAAATTCCGATGTAGAAATGATAAGCAATACCATTACGGAAAAAATCAGAACTCTTAATATGGAAGAAAAACTTCCAAAAAGGAACAAATAATGAAAGCCATAGAAATATATAACAAAACCTATCATTCAACCATTCGTGAAACACCGCATATGGTTCATTATGGATATATTGAAAAAACTTTAATTCGAGACCGCCTGGAGGATCAAAAGAACAAAATATCAAAGTTAAATGCAAATAGTGAAGACTACAAAGAAATACGAGAGGAATGGTTTATAAAAATTTATAGAAACGTTCGACACAAAGAACAGCCAAAATACAGAAAACAACCACTTCGTAATGTTAATGATTGTAATATTAAAAGACCTTTCAAATTTTCAGGCCCTAATAATGGTACTTCTCCTAATGTCTCTAGTACAGTTGAGCCAGGCAACTCCGTTGATCAGCCAAATCAATGAAAACCATGGATTTATTGAAACTAAAACCGGTGACGTGGAATTGGTGAACGAAACATATACAATAATCCATATAATAAATATAAGTGAAATAGAAGGAATATTAAACAACATCAGTATAAACATAGCAAGTCTAGATCTTAATAGCAACAGCGTTCTCCAAAACGAAATTAATCTTATTAGATCAAAAATTAAAACATTACTGCCACCGGACAGTTAGCTATGGTTGTCTGGAACAATGGACGATGAGGACAGGCAGGAAATATTTGCCCACTTATCCATCATCGATCAAAATTCACACAATATTACAGAAAACGTTAATAAACAAATTAATATCAATGATTCTCTGAACAAGTCATTGGAACATTTGAAAACAGCAGTAGATAATGATCGAAAGGAAATAGAATCGTCATTTAATGAGCTAAAAGAACTTAATAATAACTTTTTAATTAAACTATTTTATTTAGATCAGTTTTCAAAACTTAAAACCCTAGAGCATAAAATAGATCAAATACAGGACAACATAGTATCAGCTAAAAATAATTTTATACAATCAAGCAATTTTACGTCACAAGAGATTTTATAATTTCAAATTGATTTTTACAAATTAAAACGGTTGAAAGTGGGTATTATACTTTGTAGAGACGATTTTTTAGTTATAGCTATATTAGTACCGGAAAGTTTTATAAAAGCGGAACTTAAAACTATCGTTCCTATTCCAAACAATAATAAAATAGAGATAGACTCTGATGAAGAGACAATAATTAATATAAACGGCATTCCATACAAATATGAAGAAAATGTAACTAAGGAAGAGCAAGCATTGCATTTTTTATAACAGGTGTTGATATAAATTTAACAATATGACCTCAATTTTTAGTGTTGATAATGACATAATAATTATAAAGAATGCCTTCGCTGAAAAACTAAAACAAAACTGTGACGATAGGGTACTAACTTTAACTGGTAATTATTTTGTTATTCTTAATAACTGTAACTTAACCTTCCATAATGAAAGTTTCTTGAACAAAATAGTAGTATATGAAGACAAATATTTTTATCAGAATAATCAAAAACTTGAACTACCAAATGTAAACCCAAAATTTAACAAGATTACAATTGAAGACTTTGAAAGTTAAAGTGAAATCAAAGAAATTAAATTAAATAAAAACATATCAATTGGAATTGATTATAATTGTAATAATTTTAATTATTTTTATCGCATAATAAACAATAAGAACTTTCTTAAAATTAATATTGATAATCATATAAAACACTCAACAAAAAGAAATGAAATTAGTTTAGAAGAAATAACAAAAAATATGTCTCATAATTCTTAATTAAAATAAGAATATGTAATTTGCCTGTATGTTAATTAAGTTCAGTATGAAGACTCATATGTATAAAAAAAGAAATCCAGGAGTATTTCTGGCAAGGGGTGGAGGAGTTACGTCCCGGCCATTGCCACTTATTTTTTATTGAATAAAGCATAACACAAAAGTTCCAAATGATATTTGAAACTTTTGTTTTCGTATCCACATTCCCAGACAATCATTCGATGCAGCGTCAGCAAAACCCTGTCGCTACATTTAATCACAAAATATTAAAAGCAACAAATAAAATTCAGTCTTAAGACCACAATCAAACACAAAACAAGTGTTTTTTAATTCCACAAGGGATAAGCAGTGTGTTCAAAACCACGGCAGATAACTCACGCGTATGAATGGTACTGCAAATACCGTAAGTTCAGTAACGAGCGAGATGTTTTTTCCACATGCGGAAACATTTATAACAAAATACATGCTAGACTTTTTAGTTCTAACTATATCTAGTTTATAAGCAATTTTTAGCACTATATATATATTCTGGAAATACATATGAATATATGAAAAAATATATATGTTAGTGCGCCGAAATTGCGTCCCGATAAAAACGAGACATAATCAATAGGTGACGAGATTTACCTTAGTAATTACACACGAACGTGTAATGTTTACATTGGTGAGCACAAACACTTAACCGAAAATCACCAATACAACATAAAGGATTTTGTAGCATTAGCGCGAACTCGTTGAAATCTGACATACCAATATTGCAATAATAAGTAGTCAGGAAATTTCAGCGAATGTTCGAGCGATAAGTGGTGCAAAAACTGCATTATGATTCCACATATGTTTCTAAATTAGAGCTAATGCGAAAAAGGCGAGATCGTCAAGTTCTGATTTCTCAAAATTCTCTATAGCACAGGTATACATTTAGAATTGAAAGATTGGAGTGGACTTTGAGCCATGATTACTATTCAAAGATCGAAATTAAATGGCAAAAAATTATCTATCTACCGAAATTCTAGAAAAACTGAACGATTTGTCCGAAAAATCTTCAAAAATCTAATGAAAATTAAAATCACTAGATAATTTTTTAACCATAAAAATACCGAATAACTAGTGCTTATTTCGCGAAATGTACCACTTAGCTCATGTCTGATTTGAAATAGAGTTATTTGCATTCTTTCGGAATGAGGTTGTGTGTTGGATTATTATAACATAATTTTAAAAATATGGTTGTGTTGCAGCATATTTGCGTACGGATTTTGGGAGAACAGAATTGCCGTCAGCTCCATATGTAAAGAAGCCAATTTGTCGAATTTTTTGTGGCTACAATCAATTAAAAAAAGAAAAGTTATTTAGAGGAGCCTTTAAACCATGGTGGAAGAATACAGATAGATGCATCAACGCTTGGGAACATTGATATGTCAAAAAAAAAAAAAAAAATTAAATGTTTTTTCAAATATAAGTAGATTTTTATATGTTTTCTTAAATGACATCCTTCGGTGGTTATTATAATTCGCGTTTTTCAGCGATTTTTACAAATTTTAATAATATTGCATTCAACATTTTCCGTTCCAAAATTGGTTAGACAGTTCATTGTCCCAGCAGCTGTGTCGATGAGTCTACCTATATTCTTCTACCATGCTTTAAACAAAAGGTTATGCCAGATACGACGTGCGTGATGTAATGTAACCTCAAACAGATATCACTGGCAAAATAAAGCTCGATATTTTTATACCCTCCACCATACTATGGAGGGTATATTAATTTTGTCATTCCGTTTGTAACTCCTCGAAATACTCACGTCAGACCCAACAAAGTATATATATTCTTGATCAGCGTAAAATTCTAAGACGATTTAGCCATGTCCGTCTGTCTGTCTGTGTGTCTGTCTGTCTGTCTGTCCGTCTGTCTGTCTGTTGTAATCACGCTATCTTTCGAACAAATTGAGATAGAAGGCTAAAATTTTGCACATGTATATTTTGCCAGTAGGCAGGTTAAGTAAATGGGTCATGTAGGTCCAAGTTTTCATATAGCCCCCATATAACGGTACCTCTCGATATTCGGTATTTTGATGATTTTAGCGACATTATTCACCGGAATTAGCGACATTATTCACAAATTTGGCATTTGAAGTTCGTAATGGATACTACAGCCTAAGACAGAAAATTATCTGTGCAGGTCCACGTCTTCGTATAGCCCCCATATAATGGTACCCCCCGATATTCGGTATTTTGATGATTTTAGCGACATTTTTTAACGGAACCGTTCCAAATTTGTGTATTTGAAGTTCGTAATAGATACTGCAGCAGAAAACAGAAAATGGGCCATGTAGGTCCACGTCTTCGTATAGCCCCCATATACCGTACCCCCCGATATTCGGTATTTTGATGATTTTAGCGACATTATTTAACGGAACCGTTCCAAATTTGGTATTTGAAGTTCGTAATAGACACTGCAGCAGTAAACAGAAAATGGACCATGTAGGTCCACGTCTTCGTATAGGCCCCATATACCGTACCCCCCGATATTCGGTATTTTGATGATTTTAGCGACATTATTTACCGGGATTGTTTTAAATTTCGCATTTGAAGTTCGTAATGAATACTTCAGCCCATGCCAGAAAATTGTCTGTGCAGGTCCACGTCTTCGTATAGCCCCCATATAACGGTACCCCCTATATTCGGTATTTTGATGATTTTAGCTACATTATAAACAAATTTTTCTTCGCATTTAAATGTTGTAATAACTTATGACAAAAGTTGCCTATGCAGGTATACGTCGTCGTATAGACATTCGGTATTTTTAAGATTTTAACAGAATTTTTAAAGGATTTTTTTTATTTTATTTATTTATTTTTTTTGGAAATTGCCGGCCGAACTTACAGCTTTTTTACTTGTTTATTTTTATGTTTACTACATGATGGAGCGCATTGAAAATTCGTCCCGCTTGAACATAACGGGCTTTCCTTGTTTAAAGCTGATATCCAAGATAGGACTCACTATGCAAGATATAAGAATGATATTTTAAATGAATACCTGTTTTAAAGTAGTACAGATGTATACATAATTCCTGTAACCACTTAGGTAAAGCCTCATATAATTCCACCACCTGTGCCTTTATATAGCAAAAATTTCGCATGGAATTATCTCAAATATCCTGTTTTGTAATATATTTTACGGCAATAATTGTGTAATGTCCCCAGCGACACTCGTTTACTTTTAGGCATAATTATTTTAATGCTTTAAAAATCCTTTTTCAATAACATTTGTATTTGAACGTTTTAGGTTCTTAGGGGATATAAATGTACAGCCATTGTGGTATCCGGCACTTCACTAATTCCAATCACAATTTCAAACCAAATGGGCGGCAACTTTCCATTTGGGTCTCTTGTCGCATTACATTTTGTCACATGAAAACATAAGATCCAGGTTCACATAGAAATATAGGCTCGTTGTAGTATTGAATTCAAACCTACCATCTTATTGCTCACAGATATGATTTGACCCATCTTTTAAAAATAAATTTTAAAACAAAATTTAAAATTCTATATTAAAAGTCAAACATAAAGCAATTTAATGAGATATAAAAAAAAAGACAAAATATATATGGTGAGATTTCCGAAAAGCCACAAAACATACATTTATCGTTTTATTTCTGTTTTTTTTTCATTCTCATATATATTTATGTATATATAGAAGCACCGTGGATTCAGTTGGAAACAATAAATAAATAGAATTGTCATAAATAAAACTTGTATTCTTCAGTTACTTTTTGATATCATATTGAAGAATGGTTGTGTTATGTTACAATAATTTAGAATTTACCATTTGCTACATAGATATATGACAATTATATACCATAATAAACACTTACTTTTAAATGTGCATCAACAAGTTCCATTACAAAAAGCTGAGACAGACCTCCGTCGAATCCATCTGAGCAAGTTACAGTCAACGATGTCATCGATATGTTCGATAAAGTGCAATTATGGACATGATCAGGTCGTCCTTTAAAATAGAGAATATGCTTTTAGTGGTTCAATAATGTTGATTGTCGTTTTAAAAATAGGTAATTTTGAGGCCAGCAATTGACAAAATTAGAATGTATCGAAATAATATATTCAAAACCAAATTATACAAACTTAAATTTAAGTGTAGTGCCACCAGGTGGTATCCACCATTTTGAAAGTTACCTTAAAGTAATCGGCTAAAATTTCCCAAAGTAAGAGGATGTACGATATATGAAGGAAAATTTGGCTTTATATATTTTTTTTTGCAAGAGAATGTAGGGATCATTATTAACATAAATTAACAAGTTTTAAGAAATACCGTAAGCTTAAATTTCAGAAATGCAAATATCGGACCTTGCTGTTACGTGGAGAGCTTTAAATACCAAACTTCAAATAATTTCATTGAAAATGTTGTTGAAGTTATTAAAAAACCGGAATATTAGAAGGTGCCGTTGTATAAGAGATATAGCAAAATGGCATTATGCAACAACATTTTCAGCCAATGGAAGTAGTTCTCATTATATATTGCAAATGCCAAAGTGTAAACAAATCTGTTGGAAATGGTTAAAGTCATCAAAACTCCGTTTTGAAATGTTGCTAAAATCGTTCAAATACCGATTAACAGAAAGTACCGTTGTATGTAGAAAAACTCAGACCTATATGGACAGGTAGTGATATTTTTATTTGAAATGACTGTAATTAATTTATTAATAAATATTTTTAGTTCATGATAATTGTTAATTGTAGCTAAAATATTGTCCTCAAAGTCTTCAAAAGATTAAGATTAACAGTACATATGCCAGAGCTATGACAATCATATTAAGTGAAAATATGTTCACTAATACTACGTAAATCACTTGTCACCTATCCAAAATTATCATTATCGACAAACTTTTAATAAGCAGGTCCATCTGGAAGGAACTTGAAAAACTTCATATATATATATATATATATATATATATATATATATATATATATATATATATATATATATATATATATATATATCTGCGTATGCAGATCCACGTCGTCGTTTTGATGGTTAGAGTAAAAATATATATATATATATATATATATATATATATATATATATATATATTGTTACTCTAACCATCAAAACGACGACGTGGATCTGCATACGCAAAATTTGTCATAAGCCATTACAATATTCGAATATGAAACTATGACAAAAAAAATTTGAACAATGTCGCCAATATCCTCAAATTACTGCTATACGCTGTAGTATCCATTACGAACTTCAAACACCAAATTTGAAACAATTTCGGTTAATAATATCACTAAAATCATCAAAATATCCAATATCGGAAGCCACAGTTATATGGGGGCTATAAAAAGACGTAGGCCTGCACAGACAATTTTCTGTCTTAGGCTGTAGTATTCATTGCGAACTTCAAACAGCAAATTTGAAACAATTCCGGTGAATAATGTCGCCAAAATCCTCAAAATACCGAATATGGGGAGATACCGCTATATTGGGGCTATACGAAGACGTGGACCTGGGGTCTAAAATGTATATTTCTAGGTGTTACAAACGGAAAGACAAACTTAATATACCCTTCTTACTATAGTGGGGGGTATAAAAAGAGTATTGAAGTAACTGAGACAAAGCACAGAATGCTAGAATATTGAAGTTATGTACGGAATGAGCAGGAATATGGAATGAAATTCGCTGACGGATTGCAGGATAGATGTACCAAAGGGATTTCGGAAATTCGAACATTAAAGTTACCAAAAATACTTCAGGTTAAATCAGAAAATAAAGGAACTAATGTGTATTATTGAAACAGTCCAGGCAAAGAGCTTGTTTATCCTCACAGGCATTGCAAAATGTTGAAACCTTTTTGGTTTTTTCACTGTTTCTATTCGGCCGTCTGTCTGTTTAATTTTACTATAAAAATTGCTACACCGCTTTCTGAGAATCCAATAAGGCATATCTTTTAGAGCTGAGGGATTTTGGTGCTCGATAGTCAAAGGTATTCGCAAAGACTTTTTCTAAAATCAACAATTTTTGTATTGGGCTTGTATTGCTTATACAATACCAAACTATTTACAACAGCTGTGCTCAAAAGATATTCTAATGCTATCTTATGGTATCTATGGTCGGATAAATCGGTACCTTATTTTTCTCAATTGTAATCAATTAACATTTGGCCAACTACCATTAGGCCAATTAATATCTTCATGGTTCCTATTATTTTTGCCAGTGAAAACTTCATTCAAAACATGTTTGGTACTTAGCATGAGTACGTCTCTATTTCTCCATTTTACTTCTAGAACTCCGGAACACTCACGGCCGTTAGTATCAACTTTCTTTAGTTTTGCTCCAGTAACATTTTTGGAATTCCCAATTCTGTTCTTTCTTAGAGTGCCTAATAAATTTGTTTTACGATACATCAATGCAAGCGCTAAAGAGGTATATTAAGGTAAGGTTCAGCAAGATCCAATACGATTTGGATTACTCCAGGTGATGGTTGTCCTCTTGAAGAATCATCTGCTTTTCGACAATATACGGAGCTAGTATAAGTTGTATAGTCTAACTCCGTACTTATGTGATTTTCTGTAACATCAGCATCGCTTGGTGTTAGATTGCTACCAGGAACATACTCATCTCAATCTGACGGCTCAAAACCATTTTCATCGCTTTCAATGTCATCACATCTACGACGCTTCCCATACAAATTTTGAACATCCATTTTGCGCAACGGACTGTACTTTAGAGAGACTACACAAAACAAATTAAAAAAAATATAATCATGTGACAGCGGTACACATGGCACCAGAATAAAATTGTATGTACGGTGGAACTCGACGTGTTAAAGGGTACATCAATTCGATCGCAATATGAAATTTCTCCGTAGTAAATTTAATATGATGACGAAATAATAGTTTTATATCGAGTATTGTACCCGGATATTTGACACTAGTCGACCACGGAATGAGATGATGAGAAATACATAGAATAGGGCTCGGTAAGTAAGGATGATCATTTTGGAGTAAAAAATATGATCTGACATTTACTGATATTAAGCTTCATTTTCCATTTATGCAGGTATGAAATTTTTGCTCTGAATGACAATTTGAAGATTACTTATGATCGTTTTGAGACATTCATGTGGGGTTAAAATGCTAACATCAGCATATTGAGATGTAGAGCAATTGGGAAAAATAGGAAAGTCTGAGCAACATACAAGAGAGGACCTGGTATCCTTTGGATATGCCTGCAGTAATATTAATCTCGTTAGAGGTTGCATTGTTCACACATACAAACATTTTTCGATTGTCACAAAACTATTTATGAGCTTAACTAGATATAAAGAAAAACCAAATTGAACAAGCTTACAAATAAGAGCATCATGCCATAACGTATCGAAGGGTTATTACTCCCAATTAAACTAACCCAGTCAAATTCTTTTTTATACCCTCCACCTTGGAAAGGAGGGTATATTAACTTTGTCATTCCGTTTGTAACATCCTTAAATATTCGTCGTAGACCCCATAAAGTATATATATTCATAATCAGCATAAAATTCTAAGTCGATATAACGATTTCCGTCTGTCTGTCTGTCTGTCTGTCCGTCTGTCTGTTAAAATCACGATACAGCCCACATTATTTGACGTAGAGCGCCAAAACTTAGCAGAGCAATTGGTATTGTGTCTAGGATGGTTGGTATTGAAAATGAGATATATCAGTCCACCTTATGGTATAGTCCCCATATAACGGTACCTCCCGATATTCGGTATTTTGATGATTTATGCCACATTTTTTCACGGATTTGTCTGAAAATTTGTATTTGTAGGTCATAACGGGTCCCTGTACGTGTGGCAAAACATTGCATGTATAGGTCCACGTTTTGGTATAGCCCCCATATAAAGGTACCTCCTGATATTCGGTATTTTAATTATTTTTGCCACATTTTTTCACGGATTTGTCTAATAATTGGTATTTGTTGGTCATAATGGTTTCCAGCTCCGGTGGCGAGACATTGCATGTATGAGTCCATGATTTGGTTAGGCCCCATATACCGGTACCTCCCGATATTCGGTATTTTGATGGTTTTTGCCACATTTTTTCACTGATTTGTCTAAAAATTGGTATTTGTGAGTCATAATGGGTCCTAGTTCGTGTGGCGAAACATTGTATGTATAGGTCCACGTTTTGGTATAGTCCCCATATAACGGTACCTCCCGATATTCGGTATTTTGATGATTTTTGACACATTTTTTACGAATTTCTCTGAAAATTTGGTAGTTGTAGATCATAATGGGTCCCAGTTCGTATGGCGAGTCATTGTAATTATAGGTCCACGGTTTGGTATAGCCCCCATATAACGGTATCTCCCGATATTTGGTAATTTGATGATTTTTGTCACATTTTTTTCACGTATTTGTCTGAAAATTGGTATTTGTAGGTCATAATGGGTTCTAGCTCCGGTGGCTAAACATTGCATGTATGGGTCCATGATTTGGTATAGCCCCCATATAACGGTAACTCCCGATATTCGGTATTTTGATGGTTTTTGCTACATTTCTTCTAATGTGTCCTTTACCCTAGGGTGGAGGGTATTAAAAGTTTGGCCCGGCCGAACTTAATGTTCTTTTACTTGTTAAGACCTATTTTCATAAAGTTATGTATTCGTTTTGGTTGATGAGTTCTATGAAAGCTTCTGAAACGAAACTGTCCGTCTGGTATTATACAATGATTTTCAATTTTCAAAAAATAAATATTTTTTTCTTTAATAACATTTTCAAAGACTTTAATATTTTTATTTTTTAAACTAATAGACCTGTAACTACTACAGAACTTGGAGGCTTACCAGTTTTTTGTTTGAAAGTAGGTTACTTTTATGTAACAGTTAAATATAAAGGTTAAAAAGGAACAGTGTTGGCTTGTTTGTTCGGAATACCTTAGTATTTTGTTGTTGCAAAATGGTCAGGGTTAATCCCATTATTGTTGATTTTATAAAAACCAACGTTTGT